AATGAACAGTGTATATAAAAATGTATATCATATATACAATTTTATGTCTTGCTATTTTCCATACCTGTCATTACACACCTTTAAATACTTCTGATAATCATAAATGTATATTCCACAAATTCTTAATCACTGGGGCACCTGGGCGGCTCAGTCAGTTAAGCGTCCAACTCTTTATCTCAGCTCAGGTCTTGATCTCAGCGTTGTGAGCTCAAGCCCTGCTTTGGGGCTCCACGCTGGGCATGGAGCCTACTTAAAAAAAAATCCTTAATCACTTCTTTGTGTTGGGCTATATAAGTTGACTAGAATTCCTCCTTATTTATTTTAAACCAGTATGTAGAGAGTAAAAGTGGGAGATGTTGGTAACATCCAAGGAGAGGAAAGAAAACATAACAACTGTGTGGATATTTCCTGTGGCTGGGGCTGGGAAACATAGACAGCCATAGTTGGATCAGTGGAAACCAACTTAAGTGACTGTTTCCTGGAGTATTCTAGAACATACATATGTGTATCAGGGTTTTTAAAAAATTGGGGAAATGATGAAGAATACAATACCTAACATGTATGTAACACTTTTCTCCCTTACTCTGTGCTGTTTCAAAAAGGATTTAGGATGAACTCAACAACAAAAAACAACTCAAAAAATGAGCAAAGAATTTGAAGGGAGCCTGACTGGCTCAGTTGGTAGAGCATGTGACTCTTGATCTTGGGGTTGTGAGTTCAAGTCTCACATTGGGTGTAGAGATTACTTAAAAATAAAATCTTAAAAAAGAAAAAGAACTTGAATAGACATTTTGCCAAAGAAGATACACAAAAGGTCAATAGGCACACAAAAAGATGCTCAGCATCACTAATCATTAAGGAAATGTAAATCAAAACCACAACAAGATATTGCTTCACACCTTTTAGGATGAGTACTATTAAAAACAAACAAACAAACAAAATAACAAGTGTTGGAAAGGATGTGGAGAAATTGAAACCCTTGTGCACTGTTAGTGGGATTGTAAAATGGTCCAGCCACCGTGGAAACGGTCTGGTGGTTTCTCAAAAAATTAAAAATAGAATTAACATATGATCCAGCAATTCCACTTTGGATATATACCCAAAAGAATTGAAAGCAGGGTCTTGAAGCAGTATTTGTGCACCTATGGTCATGCCTCATGATTCCACGGTAGCCAAAAGGTAGAAGGAACCCAAGTGACCATGGATAGATGAATAGATAAACAAAATGTGGTATGTACACACAACTGAATATTATCCAGCCTTAAAAAGGAAGGACATTCTGACACATGCTACAACATGAATGAACCTTGGGGACATTATGCTAAGTGAAATAAGGCAATCACAAAAAGACAAATACTGTATGCTTTCAGTTATGGGGTTCCTACAGTAGTCAGATCCACAGATGCAGAAAGTAGGATGCTGGTTGTCAGTGGGTGGGGGAAGGGGAGGATAGAGAGTTGTTTAATTGGTACAGAGTTCCGTTTTTGCAAAGATGAAAAGAGTTCTGGACATTGGTTGAGCAACACTATGAGTGTACTAACCACTACTGAACTGTATACTTAAAAATGGTCAAGATGGTAAATTTTGTTACTTGTATTTTACCACAAGGAAAACATTTTCAATTACTTTTAAAAAAGGATTTAGGGTACTTACAATACCCCGTACTTTCTTTTTTTTTTTTTTAAAGATTTATTTATTTGAGAGAGAGAGAGCATGGGGGGGAGGGTCAGAGGGAGAAGCAGACTCCCTGCTGAGCAGGGAGCCCGACGCGGGACTCGATCCCGGAGTCCCGGGATCATGACCTGAGCCGAAGGCAGTCGCTTAACCAACTGAGCCACCCAGGCGCCCTACCCCCTACTTTCCAAAATGCTTTCGCATACAACATCCCAGTTGATCCTTAAAACAACCTGTAAGGGAGCAGGTTGGGTATTTTCATTCTCATTTTGGAGTAGAAGAGATTCCCTTGTAGGGATGTCATGGAGCCCCACAGCTTTTAAGGGAAAGGGATGGCTCCCGCCTACCCTGGAATCCTTAATGGTAGGATGTGATTCCATACTTTCCGATCCTCATTCTCATCCAATCCGTGGCCTAGTGACCTGCGCCTGGCCCCCAGCAGGCTCCCCCCGTCACTCATCTCCTAACTTTGCAGACTAACTCAGGGACTGGAGGTTCTCCTGGATGTCCTCTCAGGACTGTACAGAAAACTCAGAGGCGGAGTGGTAGCCTCTTCCAGCAAAATGAACAGAATCTAAGTGTTACAGTTTGATAAGTTCTAACAAAGCCATATAACTGTATAAGCCACACTCCTATCAGGATAGAGAGCATTTCCATCACCTCAGAAAGTTTCCTTTCCCAGTCAATACTCCCACCCCAAGGCAACTACTGCTTTGATTTTTTATTCCATGAGAATTTTTTATTCTTTTTTTTTTTTTTGGCAGGGGGTTGGGAGGAGATGGCTTTTTGCTGAGTATTCTTCCTGAGTGATTGTTTATGCCAGGACCTGGGGCCTGTTAAACTTAAAAAAAAAAAGAAAAGAAAAAAAAAAGAAGTAGCTTCCTTTGTTTCTCCCTCATTTTAATAATAGCTTTCCTTTCCATGGGGCCTGTCTGTCCCACAGTCTGAGGGTCCCTTGAAGGCAAGGGCCAAGCCTTTTCATCTCTGTGTCCTCAGTGCCTAGCACACAGTAAGAGTGCAACAGGTGCTGGGTACTGTTCTAAGCACCTTTCACACATCAATTCATTTAATCCTTGTAATACTCTATGAGGAAGGTGTTACCATGCAGTCCATTTCACAGATGAGGACAGTGAGAGATTTAACAGCTTGCCCAAGACACCATAGTCGGGAAGCAGCAGAATTGGAATTTGAACTTGAGCAATCTGGCTCCAAGTACGGCTGTTAATCAGTATTCTCATCTGCCCCTCAATTACATGTGTTTGTTGAATGAATGAACAATGATCCTTTATTGCCTTCTCATCTCAATATGTCCATGGCCAAATTAAATGGTTCTCTCCCCAAAATTTCTTTTCCCCACATCTGACCTCGCTATTCGTCCTGGGTCTCAGAGAAACATGGAGACTTTCTTTTCTTTTTTAAAGATTTTGTTTATTTATTTGTCAGAGAGAGAGAGCACAAGTAGGAGGAGCGGCAGCCCAAGGGAGAAGCAGGCTCTGGGTGAGCAAGGAGCCGGATGAGGGACTCAATCCCAGGACCCTGGGATCATGACCTGAGCAGAAGGCAGACGCTTAACCGACTGAGCCACCCAGGCATCCCAGCATCTCCTCCCCAGCCTAATTTACTGCCTACCTGCCTACCTGCTTGTACTCACTAATCTTTGTCTTACATTTTCCCTTAAGCTCTTCTTTCTGGCTTACCTCTTAACTCAGCACATGAAACCCAAAACCACCCCTCAGGTGATGGTGAAGGCCCTGATAAGACCTCCCACCAGCCCAGACCACGTAGACCTTTTGAGCTGAACCCCCACTCATGACTGCACAGATGGAGCTCTGGAATGACCTACAACTACCTTTACTTCATCATAATACTAAAATATCTGCCCAAGGAGGAGACTTAGACTCATTTACATAACATACAACACACGTATAAGCATGTTTCCTTAAAGCACTTGGGCAACCTTATGCACACCTCTACATAGGAACAAGGCTTCCCTATCTAAATATTCATCCTAATCCTAAACAAAAGGAACCCATTCACCCTCTCTTGCAGAATCAGGGCTTTGGAAGCCATTCCCCGTGATCTCCTTTTTTGCTGCAAATAAAAGTTTTCTTTGTATGACAACTCAACATGGTTCAGTTTCTGACTCACTTAGGAGCAAACTCACATTGGTTTGGTTGCACCTTTGCAAATGCTGCCCCACTCTTTGGGGGCCTTGGGGTTTACATGCATTATTTAACCTTCACGATAATCCACAAGCTAAATATTATTATTCATGTTTTATAGATGAGAAACCAAATAATAGACTCCAGGTTCAAACAGGGTTTGTCTGGCCCTGAGGACTCTTCCATCCGCACAAGGACTGGTGACCTTGAGCAAGTCACTTAACCTTCACGAATCTCAGATTTCTCAGATTTCTCATTTGTAAAATGGGGATAATAGTGGTAATTACCTCATATGAGAGCAACTGAGATAACAGCACAGTGCCTGACACACAGTAAGTGCTCAGTGATAATTAGCAATTAAAGTTCACAAAGCCTATAGCATACATAGCATGAGAGCTGGCTAATTGCTATGACCAAAATGCTATCTGGAAGGGCTCTTGAACTACAGCTGGTAAGAAATTGCCATACCTGGCCCCTTCTTAGTCTCTTAAAGGAGTTCTCTCCAGGGAAGCACTGTATGCGGTATGAAAAAAATTACCATACTGCTCACTTGCAGGATGCACAGCAATAGAAAATACATCCAGTCTAGTGGAGAGCACAGAGAAACAGCCAGGGTGTGTGACCACAGGCAATCTTGAAACCTCTGAACTTTTATCATTTACAGATTGGAAATAATACCTTCCCCCAGGAAAATTGAGATAACGCACACGCAGCCTTTAGGGCATTGCGGAACACATAGTAGGACCTGCATAAAGGAGTTGTGCAACATTATCATAGTCAGAAAACGTACATGAGCGCGCTTTATTGCAAGGACAAGATGGATTTATAAATCATGTTATCAAAATCAAGTGTTAAAAGTACAGGAAAGGTAAAAGGATTGTACAAATCAGGTACTAGTGCATATCTTGAAAACCTAATCGCCCCCCAGGAGGAAACAAGCAGAGTGGGCAAGGGTGTGGGAGGAACTCCGGCTCTCGCCCACCCGCCTCCGAGCCCCGCCTCCGAGCCCCGCCTCCAGGGTTGCGTGACGCGGCGCCCAAGCCCCGCCGACGGGGGGCGGGGCCGGCCCTGGTCACGTGAGCGCGGGTGCGGAAGTGGTGCAACGGGCGGCGTCTGTGGTTGGCCGAGGCCGCGGGTCCCGGGGGCGGGGTCAAGCCGGCCAGACGCGCCGGGAGGAGCCGGGGGAGGAGGCAGGCGCGGGGGCCGGCGTCTGAGTCCGGGGTTCGGTCCGCGGGGCGATCGAGTGCTGGACCGGCGGCGGTCCGGTGCGCCCCGGCCAGCGCGCGCCAGCTGCTCTGGGTACCCCAGGCCGAGGCGCCGGCGGCTGCGGCAGACCGGTGAGGTGGGCAGAGGGGGGCTCGGAGGGCGCCCTGTGCGCGGAGCAGGCGTGAGGCAGCCGGGGGCCGGGACGCCATGTCCATGGAGGACCCCTTCTTTGTGGTGAAAGGGTGAGTGTCCCCGTGGGCTCCACTGGAGGAGGACGTGGCGGTGCTGCCAGCCCGCACCTCCCCGCTCTTCTCGCTAGAGGGGGAGGGGAGACAAGTGGAGGCTAGGGAGGGGACAGTGCGGACGGCTTAGCTTGCAGGGCCATGACCAAGCGTCCAGAGACATCCCCTCCGCGTCCTACCTGAACTGTGAAAACCGTGCCCTCAACCAAGCCCCTGGGGAAGGGGATCCCTTTTGGGACGTGCGCGGAGATACAACTTATTTGGGGTTCGAGGGGATCAGCAGCTCTGCAGGTGAGGAGGGAAACACGCGACCCCAGCCCATGCTGGGGCTCTAGTGGAGCACGGGGCCTTACTTCGAAGGAGGGAAAACAGCATCTGGGCAGGAAAAGGGAAATGGCCCTCCTGAGCTTTGTAGTTGGCGTTGATGGGGGTGAGCTCCCATTGTCCATTGAGTTTGGAGCGCCGGCCCGCAGAGTGGTGAGACCACAACACGCCCAGAGGCGTCTGAGCACGTTTGCAGGCTGGGCTGCGGGGGAGCAGGGCTCCGGAAGACAACTCAATTCAGTGGGGGCGTTTTTACTGAGTAATGTGAGGGGAGGAAAGCAGTCGTTCGAACTCGGCGATGATGTTGGAAGGAAAACAGAATGAAATCAGCCAAACTAAACTTTCCTCAGCTTTCTATTAGCAGCTGGGATTTTCCCACAGTGCTGAAGGAAGTGAGTGCTTTCTTTTTAACTCCCTGATTTCATCCAGGCTCTTTGACAGGTTTCCCCCATTTCTTATCCAGCCTTTCAGAACAGAACTGCCTTAACTTATTTTTCCCTCTGAGCTGTCCTGACTCCATCTTTGATTGCACGATTGTTTGGAGATAGAAACTTTATTTGCACTTTGTTATATTTATTATCTTTGTAGCCATTAAACAAATGCAAAAAAAGGTCGATTCTCAGGTTGTTGTAACTTGTCAGCTTTATGTTTTAAATGACAGACAAAAAAAAAATCCGAGAACTACAAAGTTCCCAGATCAGTACTAATAACCACGAAGTGTCTCTTTGCTTGCAACTAGTTGCTGCTAGCTCCTATTTCTGCTGACCAGTTGCTTGAGTGTGTTTTTTAAGAATTCTTCTCAGAAAATTTACTTGGTACTTTAGGTGAAGTACTTTGTTATCCATGATACGGTAAAATATATTTATATACTTTTTAACATTTTCTTAAAAGGTTTTTTCCTTCATCCTACTTAAAAGTAGATGTGAAAAGGCTGAGTTGCAGATTGACTAGTAATATGTGGCTCTCTACCTGGAAAATGTGTTATTTGTTAGAAGGATTAGTTTAGGGGTTAATTTTTAAATGTTAAAGCTGTGTGTCTTTCCCTTGAATGAAAGTTCTTAATGCTTAGGTTGCAAAGGTTATCTCTGGCGGTGGAAACCAGGGATAATCAGAAATTTTTTGTTTGCTTGATTTTTAATGGAATCTGTGAAAATGCTAAATTGCTCTGCCATCTTGGTCTTTTTTTCCTGATAGATCCAATATAGTCTACCAGTGCTTGCTCACTGATTAGATATCACTGTTGTATTGGAACATTGGCCTGGATTCTTCGTTGACTTTTATATCATTTTAGCTCATGTCCTAAGGTGTCTGAAGGAAGAGATTGGCAATACCTTCTGCTGTAGAAGGTAAAGTTAGCCACAAGGGTGTATCCAGACTGTGACAGAATATCCGGGGAGCCGTGTACCTCTGTTTATTAAAAGTATTGAAAATGCATCAAACGATGTGGAAAATTAGATGCCTAAGTTGTGGCCCTTAGCCTAGCAGCTGATGGTTCTGAGAAACAGCTCACCCCAAAATTAAGTAGAAATGGCAGGTGATAAATTAAGCACTAAAGCAAATGTTACAGAAGATTAAGTGCCTCAGTAGTTCTGAGAAAAGCAGCTCATTAGAAATGGTTATGATTGGACAAGCTTTTAGAAGTAGTAGTAGGTCTTGAATTAGGTTATGAACATGGGTAGAATTGGGATAATTCAGGCCTGTGTCTCATCTGGACTCTTACTAAAGAGTCTCTTAATTGGTCTGCCTGCTTCTAGTAATCTTCCTTTGGTTCTATTGGGTCATTGCTATCTAAAATATAATGTGAGCCATATATGCCATTTTACGTTTCCTGGTAGCCATGTTAAAAAGTAAAAAGAGAGGCACCTGGCTGGCTTAGTCGGTGGAGCATGCAACTCTTGATCTCTGTGGCGTGAGTTCAAGCCCCACACTGGGCAAGGAGCTCACTTTATTTTTTTTAATTTTTTAAAAATATTTTGTTTATTTATTTGACAGAGAGCGAGAGCAGGAGAGGGAACACAAGCAGGGGGAGTGGGAGAGGGAGAAGCAGGCTCCCCACTGAGCAGGAAGCCCAATGCGGGGCTGGATCCCAGGCCCCTGGGATCATGACCTGAGCCAAAGGCAGACGCCCAGCGACTGAACCACCCAGGCGCCCCGAGGAGCTCACTTAAAAAAAAAAGGGGGGGGTAAAAAGAAACTGGTGAAATTAATTATAATATCATCTTTAATATATTCAAATGTTTCAGCAGGTGGTTAATATGAAGATTATAATGGAATAGTTTACTTTTTTTGTATTAAGTTTTCAGATTTGGAGTATGTTTTACACGTATAGCACATCTTAGTTTGGACACTGAATTTTCATCGGGAATATTTGATCTGTATTTAGAGTTCATTAAATTTACAGTTGAGAAAGTCGATTCACATACCCAGACATACTTAAAAATTTCCCAGGAATGGAATTGCATATCAGTTTTTAAATTTAATTGAAATAGAAAAATTAGTTCTTTCGTCATCCCAGCGCAGTGCAGGTGTTCCGTAGTCACATGTGGAGCCCACGTTGGGCAGCAGAGGTGCAGCTCTTCCAGAACCCAAGCAGGGCTTCCGTGCTTAACATCGTTTAGTGGCTGCCTGTTGCCTCAGGAATAAAGTCCAAACACTTCATGACCCCCATGATCCCGCGGCCCTTTACCCTCCGCCCACTCTGCCTACCCTCAGCGTGGAGCTCCAGCAAGGTCCGGCTAGTGTGTGTGACCACAGTCCTGGGTGCTGTTACTCCATGTGCACCCACTCTGCCTGGTTCACCCACTAAGCTTTGAAGATTCAGTGTAAGCATCTGTGTTGCCTCCAGGAAGAGCTTCCCTTGGCACTTGTAACATGTTATTGCACCTCTTCCTCTGGCTGTCTTTCATTATTAGACTATGAGCTCTGTGGGTTGGGACTGTGTATTTTTTCCTGTATTTCCAGCCCAGCACCTTGAATATACAGTATAAATGTTAACTAAATACTCGTGGTGGTGTTGCAGGTGGTTAAGGAGTAGTGATTCATGGGTGGGAACTTTGCCAGCAGATGCCGTGAGTTGGGCATTGTGTATTAGAAATGATCAAGGAGAGATGCTCCCAGGTGGTGTAGGAAGTTTATTTAGGGGAAGTAATAATAATAGCTAACATTTAAAGGATGCAACTCCTATCCAAGCATTTTGTGCTAAGTAAGCACTTTATAAAAATTTTCACTTGATAGGAACGGCTTTGTGATGTGGGTACTAGCCCCATTTTAGAGATGAGGAACTGAGGAAGCCCAGAGGGGTTGTTATTTGCTTGGGGTCACACAGCTAATAAGTGATAGATTCAGGATTCAGATTTGAACTTCCTGATTCTACTCACGCTATTAAAACTTCACCGTACAGGTAGAATTAGGGTCAAGGAGAGTCTCATTTTGAAGCCATTGGGAGATTTTTAAATCTGGGAAATTAGGGTTTTTAGGAATATTGATTTGGTAGTACTGTTAGATGCATCAGTGTGAGGAAAGATTTAAAAGGGGACCAGTTAGAAAGCTGTGTTAATTGAAATATGCAGTTCTTAATGCCTGGATGTTTGAGGCTAGTTTTGTGAGGGTTTGACACTATCAGTGGCCTGTTCAGAGCAGAATCCCAGGACACAGAGGAGAAAACCACCACAGTGAGGCAGCTGAGCTCTTGGAGCGCATGTGACCCCTACCTGGCCTAGACACTCACAGTGGTATTTACAGCACCAGAACTCAGTCCCTGAAACTCCAGGCCCTCCTGAATCACCTCTGGCCTGCCCTTAACGCGTAGCCTCTCTGGCAGATCCTCTCCGGGTGCTCTCATGGGTGAGCTGGATTATTCCCATTGTGTCGTACTCCCTGTGTATCTGAGCACATCCTGGTCACTCTGGCCCCACTCTCTCCCCTCTCTACAAATGCCTGACCAGACCTTCCTCCAGTCCTGCGCCCATTGATCATCGTGTCCTAGCAGTGCCATCCCTTGGATATTTCTGGAATCTTCTCTCCCTCTCTAGTGATGGCTCATCTACCCTAGTGCGTGTCCTTGTTCTCTCCCGCCTGGACTCCTGTAAGCAACTTCTTCAGCAAGCTTCGCACTGCTTCCAGATGTGTCCACAGAGACACGATCAGGTCACTTCTCTACTCAGAGTCCTTTATTTTAACATCCTTATTGAGTGTCTGTTTTTGTGTGCTGGAGCTGAGAGTACAGCCGTGAACAGACAAAATCCCATCCTTATGGAGCTTACATTCTAGGGACAGGAAACAGACAAATAACGTGGTATGTCAGGTGGTAATAAGTTCTGTAAGAATAAAGGTGGGTAAAGAGAAAGGAAAAGTGGATTCTGGGTGAAAATTTTCCTTTTATCCGACTTCAGGAGGCAGTGAAGTTTGGTGACCTGTTTTTTGGTAATCAGGCTGACCCAACGTTGGGATCTTACCTTTCAGTTACTTGGAGTAACTTTTGGCAAGTTAATTCATCTCTTTGAAACCGTTTGTACAAAATGACTTAGCAATGTACAAAACTGGCTTAACAATACCTGCTTTATTGGTTATAAGGATTAAATGAGTTAATGCATGTAAATTGCCTAGCGGTTGGGGGCACATATTAAATGCCCAATAAACATTCTCTTTGAAATGTCTGTTTCTATGTTTCTGGCCAA